GTGTGTGTGTGTGTGTATGTGTTGTGCATATGCTTGTGTGTGTTGAAATAATACTAAATCCTATCTTAATGAGTAATAAATGAAATATGACTCGATATTTCAGTAATTCCCATGACGATTTGTTCAAGAAACCTGTTTTCACTGTTGACCTTTTCCTTTATGCAGGGCAGCAGACACCTCTCCCAAATATCTACTTTTAGGGATTGTTATCTCAGCTAAAAGAAATGATTAATTATGACTTTGTCCGGAACTAGTGACTAAAAGTTTTTTTTGTTTAGTTTAGCTTTGTTTTGTTTTGTTTTGTTTTGTTTTGTTTGTTTTTCTTAAAAGCCTCTCTAAAATCATATTGTCGGTGATGGGTTTCCTAAAGTGGGTCGTCAAATAATCCTTTCTAACCATGTTATGTAATTAGCAATGTGCAATGTAGAAGTAATTTCACCGTACCTTGTAATGATTTGCTTAGTGAAAGAAACAAGGTTAGTTTTTTAAAATTAATTCATGTTTTAAATATGATTAAAATTTCCCTTGATTATGAGAATTGGTTTTGGTTCTTTTAACGCTGGTCTGAGAGTTCATGTTTCTTATTGTAGTGAATGATGTTCCCTTGTTTTAAGCTCACAGATGATATGACAGACCTACAGGAAAAGAAAACTACCGAAAGTGCCTGAACAAAAGCGAGTGGATTATTTAGAAAATCGAACCTCATCTACTGAGACTTTTAGATTACGTTCTGTGAATCAAAATTGTGTATTACAAAATCAAAATAGGTTATTCGTTTAAGATTGTGTGATCCCACTCCTCGTCCGAAAGGCCAAATCACTCCAAGTATGTTAAACGCTGTTGACACAAGTTAGACCATATAAGAGGCCAATGTTACAAGGTGTATTTGATATTTGGTTCCCTTGCAGAAAAACATTATATTAGAAATACACTAGGATATTATTTCTACATTACTTGGGAATCGGACACACGTATATAGAGTGCAAAGCAAAGTGCCCATCCAATGCACGAAGGACGACAGTTTTATGAAGGAAACATTACTCTGGAGCCCAATGATAAATTGTTCTGCTGTTTCGCATATTATCTTTTTACAATTTGACTTTATTGGCTTCTATTCTAAACCTAGGCTGGTAATCTTTTTTAAAAGAAAAGAGTGCCTCTCCTCTCTCTCTCTCTCTCTGTCTCTCTCTCTATCTCTCTCTCTCTCTCTCTCTCTCT